TCCCGTCAACGCTCGCAAGGGCCAGGGGTCGAGTCTCGCCGAAGGCGCGAACCAAATCCGCGGGCCTCTCGTTACCAGGTCTCTCGGCAGGAGGCGCGTGCGGCCCCTCCTCGCGCTCGCAGAAAACGCCACTCCCATGGCATCATGCATCTCAGCGCACGCTTCGCAGAGAATGTCAGCAGATCCCCCTGCCGTCAAATGCCCGCGCGGAACCCCGCCCCCCCCCCCCCCCCCCGGGGCAGGATGTCGTTTGCGGCAAACTCTTTAGACGGCGGGGTCGACGTCGTATCGCCCAGGATCGTGATACATGTGAATGGTCTGCACATGCTCCCGGATCTCGGGCCAGAGGGAACGATCGGGCTTCTAACGCGCGATGGCTAGCTCCCAATGCGCTTGGCGAGTGGCGGCCGAAGCATCGAGGGGGGGGGGGGGGGGGGCGCAGACGTGGCCGTCGGGGCCATGGGTCCCAGAAAACCCATATCGCCGACGCGCGTAGCCGTGGTCTCCGCGATGGTTGGACGCGCGCCACCCTCTTGCTCTTCGCCGCGCCCCCCCCCCCCCCCCACACACCCGCCCACCCCCGACCCGCCCAAGCCCCGCCCGCCCTTCTCGCGCCGAGAATCTCCCAACTCCTGCGCGTGCGCCCCCGAGCCACCAACATCCGAGCAACGTCCCCTTCCAGGTTCGGAATGCCACGGTAACTGGGAGTAGGCCCTCATCACCCGGGCTGGGCGCGTAGCGAAGACGTCCCAGACCGCCAACCGCCACGCGCCACCATGGCAATGCGCAGCCTCTCACATTGGGACCTCGGGGGCCGAAGGCGCACGCAAGATCTCCCGGGCCCGAGCGAGAGTGTCCCTGGGAGAGAGCCCCCGATCAATCTGCTGGATCTCACTACAGCAGAGCCCATGATACATCTCATGCCGGGAAATCCACTTAGGAATCTGGGGCGGCGAGGCAGCGGGGGCCCTGGGCGAGATGGCGGCGGCGATGGGGGCGCGGCCGGATCGCGCCCAGGTCTTCGCGGCGCGCTCGACGGCGCTGACTGCTGATTGCGAGATGTAGACGCGATCGAGACAAGCCGCGTCGCGTGACGCGCCTGCAGATGCATCCCTCTTGGCCGGATCACGTTGATGCAACTCTGCCCGAGACCCACGCGCCGACCTGGAATCATCGGCTCGCTGCTGATGACCAGCCTAAACCTGCCTTCCTCAACCTCCACGAAAATTCCAACTTCTGCCATGGCGCACATCGCATGAGCAGCGGATGGGAGACTAGCGTGAAACAAGCTTAGGCATCTGCGATAAATCCCAACGTGGTCCAGAGTGGTAGCCATTTGACCACTCGGAACCATGGGGCCCGCTATGCCACCCTTTCGGGTGCGATGCCATATGCGAGATGCAGGTATCAAGCTGCTCCATCAGCCCACTGGAAAATACCGTGACAACACCCCCGCCATAATCGAGTCATGTACAACTGCTCTCCGACATCGCTCATCGCGCCCGAGGACCTCAGTCAGCGCGCGTGCCATGGACCCCCCTGCAAACACACCGCATCAAGCTTGCCGACGAGCTGGGGCGCACCTGCGCGCCGCGCGCCCGCAAGTGGCGAGGGCGCAGCACGCGAAGAGAGAGAAAAGAAAAAGAGCGCTGAGAGAAACTAATTGGGGGAGAAGAACCCGCGCGCTTCCGAAGCGTGGGCCAGGTGCGAACCCGCCTCCCGAATTTAATCGAAGCCACGGTGGGCTGATTGAGCCTCACTGTGGGCCGCGCCCCAGACAAGCCAGACGAGGCGCCCGTGGTCCCATGGGAGGAAGCCCCAGGACAGCTAGACCCCTCGCGCAAACGGACGAACTTGGTCAAAGAGCGTCTGGGCGCAGCCCGCATGGGCCTGCTTACCAAAGCTACTCGGGCCGTTCGGATCAAGCATGGGAGCGGATGCACCATCCTCAGAGGTCGCGACCGCCACTGCAACTGAGTGCACATGAGTGAGAAGACCATGGGCCCGCCCTCGAAGACCGCTGCTCACCGTGGACTTGCCCGAGACTTCCTCCGTGATAATCCTGGCCCGTCCAAGATAGTCGGAGAGTTTCCGACTGGCACGGGGGGGGGTGTCGCGACAAACCGGGAGCTCCCAACCATGGACATCGATAGTGTTCTGGTACACGGTCTCCTCAATGCGCTGGCTCCTCCCGAACATTGCTAAGAGGGTGGGTGCGAAGTCAAGTGCCACCTTCCTAGTCAGCGAGCGCGCGCGCGCGATCGGTTCCACTCCCGCGGGGCTGCGCTGCGCAATGCTGGACTGGACAGCGTTCTGCAGCGAGGCCTCGAGGAGTGGCCTCTCCCAACCGAGAACGATGAGACGAGTGGCGCTGGCATGGTCAGGTCGTGAAGTCCTCAGAATCTCCCGGCGACCCCCGTCTTCGCCTCCCCCGCGATCTCGAACTCCGAATCGGCGCGGGTCAACGGGTCTGACTATAACAGAGAAATCAGACCATTCAACTGCGGCTTGATACCTTGAGGCATGGACGCGAGCTTCGCATCAGCGTCGATCGCTCCCCGGTGGATACCCCGGCCCTGGACGCTTGATCTCTGCAGAACTTTACTGCCGACGCACTGTCGCTCTCGCGAACTCATCGTGCGCGCGACCGAAAGTACTACAGAAAGTCGAAGTCTGGCTCCTGGACAATCCACAATCAGCTGCGTGAGTGGTGAAGCCCTGCCGAACGATATCCTGGAGGCCCGCAATCTGGGTCGAACGCGCCGGCGCCGCCACTCCAGCCATGGCTGGAGGAGGGGCCGGAGAGAGGAGCGGCCGCGGTTGGCCGCGGCGAGGCGGGAGCAGGAAGACCCGACGAGCGGGTCGGGGGAGCGCCAGGCCGAGCGGGTCGCGCAAACCACCCTGAGCCGATACGGCTTGAGCCAGAATGGCGAAGGAAAAAACAAGAGTAGGAGGAGGAAGAGGAGGAGGAGGAGGAGGAGGAGGAGGAGGAGGAGGAGGAGGAGGCGGAGGAGGACGAGGACGAGGAGGAGGACCACGTGGACAATTGGTGGATGAATCGGAAGGGAAGGGAGGACAAAGGGAACAAATGAGAAAACACAAGATGAGAAACAAGAGGAAGCGGGAGGGGCGAGGAGGAGGCGGAGGAAGAGGCGGAGGAGGAGGCGGAGGAGGAAGAGGAGGACGAGGAGAACAGCGAGGACGACTGGTGGATGGAGCGGAAGTGAAGGGAGGATAATGGAAGCAATGACGAAGAGATAAGATAAGAAGCAAGAGGAAGCGCATGGAGGGGAAGCAGGGGGAGGATAATGTTGAGGATAATGAGGAGAATGCGGAGAAATGGGATTGGGAATGAGCTCCATCGCGGTGCGATACTACCTGACTGCCCCTCCTCCCCAGAGCTCCATGGGCACCGGGACGATGAGGCCGAGCGCCGCGACGATGAACGCTGGGAAATCCCGCTGCGGGGCAAAATGGCCGTTCACCATCATGCACGACATAAAACCGTAAACCCTTAAGATGAATGTAGCATGCCGCCGCTGAAGAAAAAACATATGGATGGAACGGTCAGACATAGAACAAGAGTCGTCCGCCTTGCTTGCCCCTTGGGCCTGGGCCAGGCTCTGCCCGAAACGGTGCCGCCATGACCACGTACACGATGCCGGGGAAGACAGATGCACTTGATGGGGGCCCGAGCCAAAATGCACGGGCGAAAACTCTGTCCACATACATGAGGCGAGTGATTGTTACTGGTACTTGCAGCTGTCATGGCTGAGGCCAGAAGGAGACGAAGACGGAACTGCATGTGGCTGCCCTGGCTGCGCCGTCATCCGATTCAATGCGGCCGCCGCCTCTGACGAGATCGGGATGGCCTCCCGTGCTCCGCTGAGCTGGAGCGGCTGCCGCAACGACGCCCCGCCCCTGAACAAGAAGGAGACCGTTGCCTACCAGCGCTGCTCGCCGCCTCTGCCACGCGGCGACTGCCGTCTCTTCGGCAGGGCTTTGTTGTGGAAGGTCGCTCGAACCCACGCCGTTCGCGCCCTCGCGAGAGCCGACGGGAGGCGTTCCAGCCTGCACGACAACAGGCGCTGAAACCTGCTGGGGAGGTGGAGGGTCGCCAGCTGGGGTTCCACTCACAGCCGCTCCACTGGTCTGCACCGCCTCGCTGTCCCGCCCCAGAACAGCCAGCCCCGGCGGGGCCTCTGGAGAGAGAGGTGGCGGAGCTGCCGCCGCTGCCGCCGCTGCCACTGGCGATGCGCCAGCCTGATCGCCCTCGGGCGCCGCACCCGGGGGAGGCTCAGGTTGAACTCCATCGGCAGAATGATCAGGACCCGCAGCCAACGCCTGGTGAACCGCTCGGGCTAGGCGCGTCAGACCCCAGCCCCTGTGCTGCTCCACCTCCGTGAAAGCGTGCAAGAGTCGCATGACAGCAAGCCTGTTCGCACAAGCATACTTGGCTCGGCGCTCAGCTGAAGTGCGGTTGGGACGACGGCGACAGCGCTCCCGCTCCATGTCAGAAGCGCGAGGTGCGAGGACGTGGTCGGAGCGAAGATCTCCTGTGGTGCTGGTCTGGGGTTCGAGCCAGACTGGCTCGAGCCAAGCTGGTCACCTGGAGGAGGAGGAGGAGGAGGAGGAGGAGGAGAAGGAAGAAGAGAAGAAGGAGGAGGAGGAGGAGGAAGAGAAGAAGGAGGAGGAGGAGGAGAGATAATGAGGAGAGGTGATGATGATGAGGAGAAAGGATGAGCAAATGACGAGGGAGATGTGGGAACGAGGCAAGCAAGGAGGAGCGAGGGGGAGAGAGGGAAAGGAAGGAGGGACAGTTGACGGGTGGGGAGGAGGTGGGGGGACTTCTGAGCGCAGGGGAAAGGGGGTGGGATGGGGAGGGGGGGCGAGGGAGGCGGGGACAGGGGGGACGGGAGGCGGGGAGCGAGGGGGGGGGGGGGGTGGGGGGGGCCGAAGGAGGGGAGGGGAGGGGGAGGAAACCGAGGCACACGGGCCACCTTCATGGGCAGGAGCGCCGGGGAGTCCCTCGGAGGAGGCACCCGCCGCGGCTCGGGCGGCGGCCCCGCGGCCGGCGGCGTCCGGAAGACCTGGGCTGTGAGGCCCTGCCCCGCCGGCCCCAAGGGGCGGAAGGGGCGGGAGGGGGAGGAAGGCGAGGCTCTTTGCCTGCCTGCCCCTGCCCCAAGCCCAAGAGACGGAGGGGAGGGGGGGGAGAGGAAGGGGGGGGGGGGGGAGGGGGCGAGCGAGGAAAGAAGGGGGGAGGTCGAGGGGGTGCGAGGAAGAGGCCCCCCCTGCCCTGAGCCCAAGAGGCAGGGGGGGGGGGGGCGGGGCAGAGGGGGGAACAAGGAAGAGGCCCCCTGCCCTCCTCGGGCGCCCACGGAACGCGGGCTCCGCGCGCATCGGGGCTCGCGCGATCGGCCCCCTTCGCATGGAGGGGAGGGGGAGCGCGCCACGCGCGGCGGCACACGCACGGAGAGCGACGCTCGCGCGCGCGGCAGCACTCGCGCGCGGTGGCGCTCGCAGCGGACGAAGCTCGCACAGACTCGGAGGAGGAACAGGTGCCCATACCGCTGCCCTCCGCCCGTTTTCCCACCCTTGGGCCTCCAGGGAGACCCTCGTCGCCACCGCCGGGGTCGCGTCGGCATTCTGGTCCGAACGCACCGCGGGAGAGGTCTGGGGAGAGCAGCGGTATCGGTACCTTTATGTATCCCCACAGACGGGCCTGGCCCGGACGGAACCCGCACGCTGCGGAACTTTGAGTTCTTGCCAAGCGCCTGCAGGCATAAACAGACGTGCGAGCTCCGCCCGTGCGAAGTTACAGTGGTGGCCGGACCACAAGAAACCTTCCACAAGAAACCCAACCCTGGAACTCCCAGGACGTCCATTGCTTTTTGGTGTGGGAACGTCACGCTTTCCATCGCGAAACCATCGACCCCCAAGAAGCCCAAGGCACCCTGGAGGCAAGCAGGGTGTTTCTTGGCATGGGTCTCCACTGTACACCCGCGCGAGGTCCGCGCACGCTGCGCGCGTGCGGGTTCGGGGCCCGCGCAAGGTCCCGAACGTGCGAGGTCCCGTGCAGGATCCGCCGCGCGGGGGTGCCGCCTGTGCGCGCTCTGCTTGTGCGAGGCCCCGCGTCCTGCAGAGGCTGGAAGGGGAACGGGGCATGGGGGGGGGGAGGGCGGGCAAGGGTCAGGTCGGGCGTGACCTCCCACAGGCGGAAGTTGGGCAAGGGTTAGGTCGGGCGTGAACACCTACAGGCGGACTTTGGGCAAGGGTTAGGTCGGGCGTGACCTCCTGCAGGTGGACTTCTTGGGCGACAACTAACAACAAACAACCCAAGCATGCCCCCAAACATGGTCATACATATAGTAGACAAATCGGCCCCAGCTTATTTCTTTGGCCTATTCTTGAACATTCCTCCTGTAGAGGGACACGCCCGACCTAAGGCAAGGAAGGGAGGACCCGTCCCAGGCGAAGAGATGCACCTGCGCTGCGACTATGCCCGTTCGGCGGTGCCCGTCTGCCGCGCGCGCGCGCGGAGCCTCTCCGGGAGAGCTCCGTGCCCGCACGGGGAGGGGGGAACCAAGCATGGCACCGCTACAGCGGAGGGCCCGGTCCACGAGAAGCCTTCCCTGGGCGGAGAGGCAGAGAGCTCGGGAGGATCAGCCGGCCCGAGGAAGGGTTCGAGACGTCTGGGGGGCCAACCTCGCGAGAGGATCACAAAAGACGTCGGGGGCCTGGGCCAGGGGCCAGGACGCACAGGCCCGTCCCGGGGCCCCCGGGCTCTGGCAGATGTGGCCTCCCAGCTGGGCCAGGAGGTGGCGTACAGCGGAGGCCCGTCCAACCAAAGTATAAAAGAATAATCATAGTGTAAGGTATCGTCTCCCGAGCGGTGTTGCCAGAAAGCGCCCGCCACGGAGTTTCTAATGCAAACATTTCTCGGCGCGCGCGTCGCCCCTTGGGGGGCGGCGCACGCATAGTATCAGTATGTTGGGGTGACGCCGAGTACTGGTACCTTCCCCCCCCCGGGGCTGACCACCTACCAAAAGCCACCCCAACCCAGCCCGAAATCGCCGTCGGGCCTGCCCATGTCCAGTCGGGGGACGTTCCAGAACATGGAAGAAACAGAGCAGAACCTGTGCACCCTCCCGCCCGAAATAGAGTTGGGTTGGTAGAGGCTTCCTAGATGGGGTCGGAGTGGATGGGGTCGAAGGATCGCGCCGCATGCCCGATGCATCGCCGATGCATTGGCGATACATCGGCGATGCATCGGCGATGCATTGGCGATGCATCGGCGACGTCGGCGATGCATCGGCGACGTCGGCGCGGAAAAAATCTGGCTCCACATCGAGCCGCGTCGCCGATGCATCGCTGATGCATCAGCGATGCGGCGCGATCCTCCGACACCATCTGCTCCGGTCCCATCCAGAGGCCCAGAGTTGGGGTGGTTTTGGGCGAACGGTGATGAGCATGGCTGCGTGTCGCTGCCCTCGCGGGGAAGGGTGACCTACGGGCGGACTTTGGACGAAAGATCAAACATAATTAACAAAGACTCAAACATAGTCAAGACATAATCTTTAAAAGATCGTCCCCAGACTACTTTTTGACTGTTCTTGAATCCTCCTCCTGTAGAGGGGCGGGGTTTGGCAGAACTGGGTTTAGTGGAACATGGTTTAGTGATGTGTACTCGGGGAAGCCCTCCCCGCCCCGTTCCACTAACAAGAACTGCCGGCGCCCGAAAAACACCAGCTACGGCAGACATGGCTTAGTGATTCTAGACAATTCAAGGGCCCGGGGCCCTACCCTTAACAGGGTCCCCTTACCATACCCGAGAGGGGCTCGCCCGACGTTACCCTAAAGGGGGAGAAGCCCGCCGCGCGCAGCTGGCCGCGGAGACCGCCGCCGCTCGGGAGCGCGAGGAGGGGGAGGAGGAGGGGGAGGAGGAGGAAAAAGGAGGAGGAGGAGGGGGAGGAAAATCATCAGGAGGAGGAGGAGGAGGAGGAGGAGGATGAGGAGGAGGATGAGGATGATGAGGAGGGAGGGA